CCACCAGGTATTAAAGCCATAAAGCCTTTGAATGAAAACAAACGCTGTTGTGACAGTGATGTACACTGTCTTTTTGGTATATGTATGATATCTATACATTTTACGTCAGATAAAAACTTTGTTCGCAAGATTCAGATAATTATTTAATAAAAGCTAAATATTTGAAATGAGAATAAAAAAGAAAAGTATTTCTTTGTGACCCCCTCTCCCTGTTAATGCCCTACCTGGCCCCCTGGCAACACTTTGCTAGATCCGTCCCTGCACAGTTACCAGCTGTCAGCTACTTAGAAAAAGGATGCTGGTGTTATTTGTCTCTCAGAAACAGTTCATAACTTCAACTCATTCATGTCACCTAAAAGGTAAACCTGTTTCTCCATCACTGTTCAGCTCTGATGATTCAGTAAGGACATCTGCTGGTTTCATCTTCATGTTTCCCTCTCACCACATATCCAAACCGATATCATGACCAGCAGCTTTTACAGCTGTGGCTCCAGCAAACATCAGCTGATACTAGAAATTAATATTAAATAAGTTCTAACAACAGCTGATCAAGCTTAAACGTGCTGCTGTTGTTTAGTGCGACATCCGCTGGTTTCCTCTTTCTGGCGCAAAGTGGGCAATAAATAAACAAGAGAGACGATCAGCTGATCATTGATCAGTTTCATGACTAAGTAGCAACATAAGGGGGGGGGGGAGAGATAAGAGAAGAGGCAGCTGTGCAGCGTAAAGACAGAATAACTCCAGCTTTTTGTCTTTTCCCATTCTAGCTAAAGTACGGGACAAACTGTGTCTCTTCTCAGCTCAATACGAGACCCGTAATATTTTCTCTGAATGAGGGACCATTCCACTTTTTAAGGAGCCGTTGGCAACTCTACTAACTAACCTTATGAATAAAATAAAGTTCACTATCAGTAACATCATAGCAACCGAACAGCTGTATAGAAACTCCGTCATGCTAGCTAGTACACAGTACGAGTTATTGTAACTGACTGTAAAAAGTCAGCACAACGAAAATAAACTCCACCTAAACTTGGTTTATATCTGACCCAGATAGACTGCAGGTCATAACTTCTTACCTCAAGTTCAGTTCACCTGATACTCGAACCGGCGGCCGCCTCGGGTCTCTGCTCCTCCTGCCTCCCCTTCCCTCATCCACCTGTTGCCTCTGTGGAAGCCCCGCCATAGCCACCACCAAACAACTGAGTTATTTTTACACATCGGCCAGCATCTGGCCAATCCACCACCTCTCATTGTTCATGCCGTTACAAAAAATAAATAAATAAGTCATCAGCCCACTGTGCAAATGTCCGATGGCTAGTCCAGCTATGTTAACTTGTTAATCTTTCGCTGAAAAAATGTTTTGTGGTGCCGTCTTTCGTACTTGGCTCTCCTACCTTTGCTAACATGATGCTCATAGTGCAGAAGTCGCTGCTGCATTCACTTACCCTCGGACATCTGAGCTTCACTGTGAAACCATAATCGTACATTTGATATTTCATTAAATTTTATTGTTTTAGCTTCAGGGTGGCACCTGGGGTGGCCTGTGCCCCCCAGGCCACCCCGCTGGACACGCCACTGCTTTGTGTTCTGGCTGTTTGCTTTTGTTTTGTGCGTGTTTATTTTATCTGAAAACGGGAAAAACTTAAAATGTCATAAATCTGCTTTTCATAATATAAATATCATTAAATAACTTTAGAAAAACTTTGACTCTTTACATTTAATGTTATAAAAATATATCTTATTTTTTTAATTAATCTTAAAATGTTAGTCTGCAAAATGTGCAGCAATTTAATTTATTTATTCTCTTTAGCTGGTAGTTGGTGGGGCCCAGGTAGACTGTATAACTGCATCTCTACCAGTGTCTCTGCACTCCAGCGTCCTCTGTGCCATGTGAAGGGATTTTCCTTAAGGCAGGAGAAATTATCTCCACGAAAGGAACAGGTTTGGTCACCGCACAGTGAAACAAATTCTCTTCTTAAATAAAAATGAAAAAGGGTTACCTTAAATGCATCATGTTTTTAATTTACAAGTTCATAAGCATTTTCCTTTTCCAGTTCACAATCAATTCTACCCCCAGGTCAAAAATATGTATAGGAAAATGTCCCTAATATAATATTATTTATAAATACACCCGTCCGGCGATTAATTGCATAAGTACAAGGAGGCGGGACCTCAGAGCAGAAACATACTCCATAATGTGTTGTACATTATTTTATGTATATTATATGTAGCGTGGTATTTTTCAATCATTGTATTTACCAACATCAAGAAGTCACAAGCAAAGAAAGACCACGCCATGGTGCATGTTTAAATAAGGAAAGTTTACTGGTCAAAATTATGTATTAAAGAAATAAACAACATTTTTTTCACCCCCAAAAATACATATTTAAAGCAACACAGCGGTGGCCCAATATCAGACAGAACTCCACTCTGTCGAGTGGGCAGTCATAATGAAGCAGTTGGTTTTATTTTGTGGATTCAAGCTGCTCTTCATATTTTTGGCCACCAGATGTCACCAGAGAGGACTGTGTTGAAAAGCTTCGAGTAATGAACCGTTTTTCAATACAAGCTTCAGTGCTTCAGAAAGCTTCATTTGGCCATCACTACCTAAAACACCAAACTAGAAAAGGTCACTAACGACCACAATATAGTTTTATTGGTGCAACCTGCCAGCAATGCAACTATCACCTGAGAGCTTGCTCTGCCCCAGTGGTCCCAGATGCTCGTTGCTTTAAAAAAACAAAACAAATCCACTCCAAATAAATTCGAGCCCAACAGAACACTTATCGCATGCACTAATTGTTTTAGTTCAGGAAATAATTGATGGCACTAAAATCACTCTTAATAAAACTTATTCACTGCAAATCCACACGGTGCACCTCTAAAAGACCTAATTCCCCTAAGGCAGGGGTGGGCAACTCCAGGCCTCGAGGGCCGGTGTCCCTGCAGGTTTTAGATGTGTCCTTGAACCAACACAGCTGATTTAAATGGCTAAATTAGCTCCTGCAGTTCTCCAGAGGCCTGGTAACGAACTAATCATGTGATTCAGGTGTGTTGACCCAAGGTGAGATCTAAAACCTGCAGGACTAATATTGCACCAGCCCAGTAGAAATAAAAACAAACCCCGCATTAAAAAACAACACAGTTTTAAAAGTTGACCCTACTCTAAAACCAACTTAGGAGAAAAACGCAACGAAAAGGAGGAGGAAAAAACTGTGACAAATTCACATGTGCAGCCTGTCCTCCAGCAGACAACTGCGTTTGCTGCACACCTGGCTTGTCTTCTAAAACACTACTCTAACCTCTGCTGTAGAGGTTTAAAACAACCGCACTATTTGCAGGTAAATAAAATCATCTCATTTGTTTAATTCTACTTCTCTGGATATTACTGCGTTACGCCCCCACATGAAGGCTAGGCGAAGAGGGTGGGGGACAGTAACAGTTGGATCCGGGTTGAAATGAAAAGGACACCAGGGATAGGGGTTTAACACAAAATAAATCTTTATTATAATTAATTAACCTAATAATCATAAAAGCAGTAACAACAGAAAGAGATGGTGGCTGCTTCAACTAAGATAACAACAAGGATTCAACAGAAAAAGACAGCAACGCTGCTCGCTCGACCGACACAAAGGAAATCCAGCAAAAGCCTCTCCCACACCCACACTGCTCTCCTCCAGCTTATATCACCTCTGGAGGGTAATTGGTGGTAAGCGAGGGCAGATGAGCAGCAGGTGTGTCCTAAAGGAGAAGGCAGGGGCAGAGAGAAACAGGGGAGGGGCAATAAAGAAGGAGGAGGAGAGAGAGAGGACAACACCACGCCCACACACTCCCACAGCCTCACAGATGTAACATTCAACCGGGGTGCTGCAAAGGAGAGATTTTGCAGACTCAAATGCATGCTGGCATTCCCCTGACCACTCAAAAGGGATTTGGGGGCTACATAGCTTCGTCAAAGGGGCCACAACTACTGCAAAGTTCTTGCAAAAACAGCGATTGTATCCAGTCATGCCCAAGAACCGCTTTAGCTCCCGCCTAGTGGTTGGGGCCGGGTAGCTGAGGACAGCCTCGACTTTTACCTCCACCGGGCGAACCTGCCCAAAACCCACCTGCTTTCCCAGGTAGGTGACTGCCGCTTTGGCAAACTCGCACTTAGCGAGATTTAGAGTTAACGAGGCTTTGGCCAACCGCTGAAACATTGATTGTAGGATGGCCACATGCTCTTCCCACGTGTCTGTGTATATCGCTACATCATCCAAGTACACATTACACTGAGGCACATCCCCCAACACCAGCTGCATTAAACGCTGAAATGTGGCCGGAGCGTTTTTCATGCCAAACGCCATCACGGTGTACTGCATGAAATGGTCGGGTGTGACAAATGCAGAAATGTCGGAGGCTCTGGAGGTCAGAGGCACCTGCCAATACCCATTAAGAAGGTCCAGTTTGGAAATGTATTTGGCAGGACCTATATTATTAATGCAATCCTCTATACGAGGAAGTGGAAAAGAATCAGAGACAGTCACTGCATTTACCTTCCGGTAGTCGTGCAGAAACGTGGGGTGCCATCAGACACGTAAACACAGGGAGCTCCAAGGGCTGTGGCTTGGTTGTGCCAAACCGTTCTCCACTAAATAACTGACTTCCTTCTTCATCACCTCGCACTTTCCCATGGGACAGCAGTACGCATGCTGTTTGATTGGGGTTGCATCACCAACATTGATATCATGTTCACAGACATTAGTACGCGAGGGCACATCCCCAAAGAGAGAAGGGTAAGAGTGGAGTAGCCCAAGTACATCTTCGGACTGTGAAGGAAAAAGATGAGACAAATGGGCCGTTGCCTCTGCTAAATAAGCTGAATTCGCCAACCGTCTGATTTTTCAGTATGTACAGATAACTAGGTGTCACAGAAAGACTAAGGGAAAAAAAGACTGTAAGATATTTTCAAATACCACTTTATACACAAACTCAGTGTTAGCAGAGATCCTTTCAAACTTTAAAACTGTTCAGACATTATTCATTGGAACAGAACTGAAGCCCTCGTTCAGCTTGTTTCCCTCCTCACCCATGGCAGGCAGTTCCAGCAGGTGAACTCCCAGGTAGCGATGTAGGTTGGGCATGTGTAGCGGTCCAACACGATGTAAGCAGCCTCTGGGTCACACACAAAGTTAAACTCTCCACATATTGTGATGTTACCCCTGGCTGCACACAGAAACAAGCACAGTCACACACTCATTCTCATATATATCAGATATTTATAAGACTAAAATCACGAATGGATAATGAGAGACAGAGGAAATACTCTGTGAGGAGACCACCTTCAATGGTTCCCCCCATGATGTAGAGCGCCTTAAGCTTTTTAGGCAAGGAAGGGTCCAACTGCACTGCTGCAGCCAGGTTCATGAGGGGGGCAGTGGATATGAGGATCACCTGGAGGCAGGAGACAGAGTTGAATTGATGATTTTATTGCCTCCTAACCAACCTTTGAGCTGAAAACAAACCCTCAGTTGTAAAATAATAATTTTCCTTGAAAAGTTTTTTAAAGAATTATCATTTATAAATGTGTTTAGAATGAATTGAGAATTAAACTGGTTTGGTTGGCCCAGTGGTGCAGTTTGTCTATTATGCACTTGAAACTTGATGAAAATTGACAGATAATTTTTACGACTTCCCAATTTAAACTGCATTGAAGCTTCAAGTTATGATTTTTTATGTGTGTTTGGCAACTTTGTGATACTTCGCAACGAGTTGGCTTCTTTCACATCAAGTGCATTGTACCCTTTGCAATCCATAACCAGTGTTGGTCAAGTTACTTGAAAAAAGTAATCAGTAATTAATTACTGATTACTCCCCCCAAAAAGTAATCCCGTTACTTTACTGATTACTTATTTTCAAAAGTAATTAATTACTTAGTTACTTAGTTACTTAGTTACTTTTTAAAAACACGATTTACAACCTGAAGAGGTGATAAAGTGATAGATCTTTCAGCCCAATTCTACTTTTTCTACATAATCCATCATACAAAATGTAATCAAATGGAAAAGTCTCTTTTTTTAACTTGTTTTATCAGTTTTAATCTTTTAACTTTATGCATCAAGCAAAACATTTAATTATATGCAACATTCTCTGACTTGAATAAATTAGTTTAACATTTAAGCCTATTTTCTACACATTCCAGCACATAAAATAAAATATTTTTTGTGTTTTCACTCACTCTTTCAAACAGATGCAAGTAAAACACAGCAGAAAATAAATAAAGTCAAAGACTCAGCGGTCCTTTTGCTCTATTTTCACCTGTAAAGCAGGAGCAGGGTAGGCGGAGGGTTACCCTGGTGTAGGTGTGCTGCGGTCAGTTGAAGAATCTGCGCGAGTGTCTCTGTGAGTTTCCCATCACGTCGTAGCTACTCGGTGCTTGCTCGGAAGTTTAGGGTTTTTTTTCGCTGTAAAAGAAGTTTTCTTCCCACGCCCGATGGACGCTAATGTTTTTGTCACTTTTTATGGAATCAAACTCAAAGTAAGGTCAGTACTTCCACACTTTAAACGCTGCACGCTCATACTCTCTCCCGCACTCGATATATTATCCATTGTTGATCTGCACACAGCTGCTGTCACCAACGTCGCACTTGCTTACGTCACTGTCATGAGACATTCTCGCAAAAAAAATCACGGTTTTAGTAACGCAGTAACGCAGCGTTCCTACGGGAAAGTAACGGTAATCTAATTACCGATTTTGCAATAGTAATCCCTTACTTTACTCGTTACTTGAAAAAAGTAATCAGATTACAGTAACGCGTTACAAGTAACGCGTTACTGCCCATCTCTGTCCATAACCAACAGATGATATCATTGTGTCTACATCCATTTTTACTGGTCACCATGAAAAAGCAATTAAATCATTAGCTCTGGGTAAAACAAGTTTTTATTAGTCAAGTGATGCAATTTCATCTGTGGGAGTTCAACAATTTTCAGCTAAATGTCAACATACTTTTTTAGGAAGACTTCAAGGCATGTCTGCTGAAATAATCTGTGACTGGGCCTTTAAATAAAACGTTTGATCAGAACCACAAACCATTTATAAAAAGTGGGTAAATGTATTCATGTATTTTGAGATCACCTACTTCTCCACACAGCATTTTTACCCAACCCTTGTGTAAGCTACAACGTTCTTAGTGTACACATATCACAGGAAAATGAGGCTCTCAATTTTCATTCATGTAAGAAGCTTAATGGTGCAGACACTCACCTCTTTATCATTTGCGTTCACAAGGTCAACAATGGCCTGTTTGGCTTTTTTCTGCTGCACCAGATCCAGGCTTGGTGCGTGTGGATCTGGAACGTCCCCAAACCCGTCTGATCCAAAGAAATTATCTGCATGGTTTTCATGGTCCACCAAAGGCTTTGAGCAGCCACGGTACACTGGAATCTGTATGAGTATTATATGCTGGATGTAAGAACATATCTACGAACATATTCGTGTAGAAGGGCTCTCTTACAGCGTGACACAAACTTACGTCCAGCCTGTCGCAGACTTTCAGGACACGAAGGACATTTCTGAGGACATTCTCCACAGACGTGTTGCCATAGCAGCAGGTGATCCCCAAAACTTCCACATCAGGTGTGGAGAGGGCCATCATGATGGCAATAGCATCATCCACCCCAGCATCCACATCAATGATGAGCTTCTTCATCCTGTGTTTAACCACAGGATTCAAACCTGAAGAGTGATTATTTCTAATAATAATCCATTTTTGACCACATGTCTAACTGTAGCGTATCTCAGCTGTCAGATGGAGGGAAAGAGGCAAAAACACAGATAACTACAAATATTTTAAATAAACACAATACAGTGTTTTTCTCTTCACACTCTCAAAACCTTTCTCTCATAGCATAACTACATGTTTTGTAGCTTTCCTAAATATGAAGGTTAGATTGAAAGACTGCTTCAACTGTTTTATGGTAGAGGCAGGAGAATGTTTTAGATACAGCATTAAAATGTGTAGTGTTCAGTACAAATATCATAATTAGATCAGCTTTTAAAATATCTGGGATCTTCATTTTACAATATATATGAAAATAGTCGCTTGCACAAAGATTTAGAAAAATGTTCATGAACAGGCAATTGACCTGCATCTGATTGTGGCAAGGTTAAAGAATTTTAAACAACAGTTTCCATTGTCAAAAAACAAAAAACAAATCAAAACACCACAAAATTATGCTTTTAGGTGCAATAAAAAGAAAGAAAGAAAAAAATAAGTGATTTCTGGGGGTTTTAAGAATTACATTTTAAAGATATGTTAACCTTCACAAATACTGTGAGATTCAGAAATTATTACTGAAATAAAATGTAAAATACTCACCTGGTAAATGGATTCTGGCAGATGTTTAGAACTTAGTGATTGGAGCTGTGATAGCTGAATGCTATCAACTGAAGAGCAGCCAGCTTTATATAAGGAAGTGTTACATAAGTACATGGCTAACTCCACCTTCAGATATTCTTTAGGTGTTACAAATTTAGCTTTAATCGAGATTGTCCAAATTTCCGCTTGCTTGAATAAAGTGAAAAAAATATTTTTGTCATGTAAATGAACAGCATTTAAAAAAATCACGCACAGAGAGGTGGGTTTGGTAAGTAGATTCTTAAGGTGTAACACTTGTATCCTTTGGTATCGACTAATGGGTGTTATCTTTGTATTAATGTTTAAGAAGATGGTTACAAAAGTGCTACCTGCTAAATTATGTAAAAAAGTGGCACACTAAGATAGACATTTTCACTTTTTATTGTCATACAGCAACAATTTAGATAATTTCGTCCACTCTCGTAGGTAAAATATGATGCTCTTTTATCTCTGCAGTTATTAAGCATGGGGGGTCTTGGTCTTTTTGCTAAACTGCATTCTTGACACTTTATTTCAGCAGGTATGAAAAGTAATCCTGCAGCATATATTGCCACCCACACTTTTTAGTATAGCCATGTTTACTAAAAGTCTAAATATCTTCAGTGGAATTCAATCATGCAGCCTTTTTAATATCTAAAAAGAGCTTTACACACACATGATGGCACCGAGTTACATAATTCCCTTAGGGATTAATAAAGTATCCTGATTCTCAAATATATGCATACAAATGAATTTCTTCATAATATTTTTTTTTTATTCTTACCTTGGTAGAATCTGAGTTTTGAGCAAGCAAGGTCTGGGTTCCTTTACAGGGAGTGCAGAATTATTAGGCAAATGAGTATTTTGTCCACATCATCCTCTTCATGCATGTTGTCTTACTCCAAGCTGTATAGGCTCGAAAGCCTACTACCAATTAAGCATATTAGGTGATGTGCATCTCTGTAATGAGAAGGGGTGTGGTCTAATGACATCAACACCCTATATCAGGTGTGCATAATTATGAGGCAACGTCCTTTCCTTTGGCAAAATGGGTCAAAAGAAGGACTTGACAGGCTCAGAAAAGTCAAAAATAGTGAGATATCTTGCAGAGGGATGCAGCAGTCTCAAAATTGCAAAGCTTCTGAAGCGTGATCATCGAACAATCAAGCGTTTCATTCAAAATAGTCAACAGGGTCGCAAGAAGCGTGTGGAAAAACCAAGGCGCAAAATAACTGCCCATGAACTGAGAAAAGTCAAGCGTGCAGCTGCCAAGATGCCACTTGCCACCAGTTTGGCCATATTTCAGAGCTGCAAGATCACTGGAGTGCCCAAAAGCACAAGGTGTGCAATACTCAGAGACATGGCCAAGGTAAGAAAGGCTGAAAGACGACCACCACTGAACAAGACACACAAGCTGAAACGTCAAGACTGGGCCAAGAAATATCCCAAGACTGGTTTTTCTAAGGTTTTATGGACTGATGAAATGAGAGTGAGTCTTGATGGGCCAGATGGATGGGCCCGTGGCTGGATTGGTAAAGGGCAGAGAGCTCCAGTCCGACTCAGACGCCAGCAAGGTGGAGGTGGAGTACTGGTTTGGGCTGGTATCATCAAAGATGAGCTTGTGGGGCCTTTTCGGGTTGAGGATGGAGTCAAGCTCAACTCCCAGTCCTACTGCCAGTTTCTGGAAGACACCTTCTTCAAGCAGTGGTACAGGAAGAAGTCTGCATCCTTCAAGAAAAACATGATTTTCATGCAGGACAATGCTCCATCACACGCGTCCAAGTACTCCACAGCGTGGCTGGCAAGAAAGGGTATAAAAGAAGAAAAACTAATGACATGGCCTCCTTGTTCACCTGATCTGAACCCCATTGAGAACCTGTGGTCCATCATCAAATGTGAGATTTACAAGGAGGGAAAACAGTACACCTCTCTGAACAGTGTCTGGGAGGCTGTGGTTGCTGCTGCACGCAATGTTGATGGTGAACAGATCAAAACACTGACAGAATCCATGGATGGCAGGCTTTTGTCAGATGTCAGAAATGTATATTTGTGAATGTGGAGATGTTATATTGGTTTCACTGGTAAAAATAAATAATTGAAATGGGTATATATTTGTTTTTTGTTAAGTTGCCTAATAATTATGCACAGTAATAGTCACCTGCACACACAGATATCCCCCTAAAATAGCTCAAACTAAAAACAAACTAAAAACTACTTCCACAAACATTCAGCTTTGATATTAATGAGTTTTTTGGGTTCATTGAGAACATGGTTGTTGTTCAATAATAAAATTATTCCTCAAAAATACAACTTGCCTAATAATTCTGCACTGCCTGTACAGCCACTTGCTTACACAGATGATCTGAAGAGACACTAAAAGAAACCGAAACTTCAACGTACCAACTGATGAGTTCTTCTTTCCAATGTTTATACTTATCCATTGTCCTTAGAAGCTGCATCACATTCTTGTTTGTTTGCATACATTGGTACACTCGATCCTTTTCAGTTGGCCAAATAGATCCAGAGATATTGCCATAGCACTGGCTCTGCATACTGCCCTCTTCCACCTGGACAATAACACCACATGTGTGCGGATGCTGTTTATTGATTACAGGTCCACTTTCAACATTATAATTCCATCCAAGCTCATCATAAAGTTTTGGCATCTGCACAGCATCATCTCCTTATGCAGCTGGATCTTGACTTCCTCACAGACAGACCACAGTGGTACAGATCGGCAGTGCCATGTCATCTACACTGACGAAGGATGTGTATTCAGCCCCATGCTGTACACCTTGTTCACCCATGACTCTGAGGCCACACAAAGCTCCAACACTATAGTTAAATTTGCAGATGATACCACCGTCAAGTCTGCTTCCAAAGCAGAGGTGAGAGCCCTGATATCATGGTGTTGAGACAAAAACCTACTGTTCAGTGTCAGCAAGACCAAGAAGCTGTCACGGCTGCCGGGGCGAGCCGTGTGGTGTAGGAGGAAAAGTAGTGATGTGACGTTCTGTATCGAGGCTTCGAAGCTTGTGTCGAGTAATTGAGGGGGCGTTTCCGCGATGCGCGTATCGAGGCTTGCTTCATTTATGGGAGGAGCTGAAAATGATGACGTCTGAAGCCTCGCTGCCCGGCTGTACCACGTCACTGGTTCATGAAGTGGTTCGAACTTTGCCGCGAGCTATGACAGAGATATAAACCCCTCAGACTTCATTCAAAATGTAGGTGTTTGATGGAGAGTTGCGGTTAGTGAGAGTTTGGAGACAGTTTGGAGGTTTATGAGAGTAACCTCAACGTTACAAAAGCACAACTACTGTCCACACCCTAACCCCACCACACAGTAAATGATCATTTCCATTTTAAACATTTCCAAATAATCATTTTCCATACTGCCAGTGTAAATATACACAGTATACTGCCATCACTACAATATACATGTTTTACACACTCCTTTTGTTGTTGACATTTACAGGCTGTGTGCAAAAGGTCACGCTCTTCCAATTCATGCCAACTAATATTTTTACATCCAGTAGATGTCCTACTAGAGCAAATGAAGCTTCAAGATGCTTTGCACTGGAGTGAACCATTTGGATGAAAAGCTTCAGTGCTTCATGAAGCTTCATCTGCCCATCACTAAGGAAAAGGACCCAAAATGCAGGCAGTTGACTGGTGATGATAGTGACATTTATTTACAGAAGTGGCAGTGACAAAAACAGGCAAAGAAGGGTGGGGAGCTAACCGAGACCTAAACTGGAGGAAACTAAAGAACAGACCTGAACATGGGACCGAGAACAGAGGATGCAGCGAGCGCCGTAGAACACAATGATTTACACGGCGTTACACAGAGAAACGCAGGCGAGCCGACGACGACCAGAGGCAAACACACTATAAATACACACCAGGTAATAAGGAGATGACATGCAGGGGTGGACACAGCTGAAACTAATGGACATAACGAGAAGCAGACCTAGAAAGTAAAACAGGAAACACACAGACTGTTTTACAAGACAAACTCGGGGACACAAACAGAGCACAGAATAAACACCAAACCCAAGATGAAGCCAAAAGGAAACACAAAAAGCTGGGTCAACAACCCAGGACCATGACAGAAGCTCATTGTGGACTACAGGAAACTGCAGGGCGGAGGGCACACCCTGATTTACATCAAGGAGACAGAGGAGAAGGGAGTCAGATACTTCAGGTTCCTGGGGATTAACATCAGTAATGATTCGAGTTGGTCACATCGAGTGGATATGATCACAAAAGCAGTGAAACAATGGCTCTTTCAGCGGCGGTTCAGGGCGTTTGACGTAGACTCCAGAATACTTACCAATATCTATCGATGCACCATCAAGACTATTCTGTCTGGCTGTGTCTGGTATGGAGGTTGTAATGTTCTGGTCCCCAAAGCTCCAAGGAGGGGGGTCAGAGAAGCACAACAATCACCAGGTCTGAACTGCCAGCCTTCCAAGACGTCTACAGACAGCACTGTAGGAGGAAGGCCCAGAGGATCCTCTCTGATCCTGGCCAGACATCCTTCATGCTCCAGCTGTCACACAGAAGGTACAGGAGCATCTGGACCTGCACCAGCAGATTCAGGGAAACTTTTACAAGCCATCAGGCTGCTGAACTGCTAAAATGTTGGACATTGGACAACACTGAGGGGGCTAACGTCACTAACTTTCACATTGGTACTTCTTAAAAGTACCACCACAACACATTACATTACAAATTACTTTTTTTGTTCTCGTTTAGCTCTTGCCGAAGGCGGTCCACGTTTCTTCTCTCCTCCTCTCCCTTATCTTCCCTGCTTAGCCTCTTATGTCCTTGTCTAGTCTCGTGTTTTTTGTATTACTTTTCCCTGGAACACTCTCTCACAGTGTGTTCTCTAAAACCTAAAAGAGAATTATGGATTTGATCAACTGGTCCCTGAATGCAATTGACACCCTTTTCTCAACAAGAAGTCTGGGCTCGGGTGAGCCTGAGTGTCCTGGAGGTACTTT